AAATGAAGACTCACTTTGGGGCAAGAATTACAAAGCTGCTTCCAAAACAGATGCATTGAAACAGAAGCACACACAAAGTTACTTACTATGGTACTGCCTTGATACCAGTACACTCTAAGTAAACATTCTCATGGTTTTGTTTTTACCATTAGCCTTAAACTTAGAAAATGCAGCTTGAGTGAGAGATGGTAAGAGCAAACTTTTTTTTATACACTGTAGCACAAAGCATACTTTGAATCAAAAAGCTCTGATCCAACAACAGGCAAGAACAAACCTTTCACTTCAGTTGAGTTTCAAGGTTTTTAGATTGTAAGGGCATTCTGTACCTGAGAGGCCTTATACAAAGGCTGTAGCTCCAAGAGCTGCTGTAATTAAAGCACCTGCAGCATCTCATGTATCAGCATCCTTGTGCTTTAAAATGGCAGTGAGGGCACTTTAACTAAAGCTCATCATATGAGCTTTAGTTTAAGTGCCCCCACTGCCATTTTCATAGATTTCATAGACATTAGGGCTGGAAGGGACCTAGAAGATCATTGAGTCCAGTCCCTGACCTGAAGGGCAGGAAGTCAGTTGGGGTCATAGGATCCCAGCAAGATAAGCATCCAATTTACTCTTGAAGGTGTTCAGTGTAGGTGCTTGAACCACCTCCAATGGCAGGCTATTCCAGACCTTGGGGGCTTGGACAATAAAGAAATTCTTCCTTATGTCCATCCTGAAATGGTCTTGCAGTAGTTTATAACCGTTCAACCTCATCTTCCCTCGGGGCACTCTGGTGAACAGACGTTCCCCCAGATACTGGTGGTCACCCCTGATAAACTTATAGGTGGCCATCAGATCGCCCCTGAGCCTGCGCTTTTCCAGGCTACAGTCCCATAGCTCTCAGCCTGTCATTGTAAGGTCCGTTTTCCTGACCTCTGATCACGTGCATGGCTCTTCTCTGGACTCTCTCAAGCTTCTCCACATCCTTTTTGAATTGTGGAGCCCAAAACTGGACACAGTACTCCAGCTGTGGCCTCACCAAGGCTGAGTACAAGGGGAGAATGATGTCCCGGGATTTGCTTGAGAAGCATCTATGGATGCAAGCCAGCATTTTGGTCGCTTTACTAGCCGCAGCATTGCACTGAAGGCTCATGTTCATCTTGTGGTCAATGATGACCCCCAAGTCTCTTTCTTCTGTAGTGCTAGCCAGTGTAACACTGCCGAGCCTATAAGGATGCTGCAAGTTTTTCCTCCCAAGGTGGAGAACCTTGCATTTTTTGGTGTTAAACACCATCAGGTTCTCGTCTGCCCATTTGCTAAGCCTGTCCAGTTCAGCTTCAATTGCCCTCTTGTCTTCTGGTGTGGATGCTTTGTCCCAAAGTTTGGTGTCATTGGCAAACTTGGCCAGTCCACTTCTGACTCCAGTGTCTACATCATTAATGTTGAAGTGCAGGGATGCTGATACATGCAGAGGCTTCTAGAGACGTGCTAATTAACACGCTCCAGCAGACTTGATTAATCAGACTCTCCACATATCTACAGGCCCCCTAAGAATCTATCAGTACAAAAGAAATCCAAATAATTTATTTTTACCTTAAGATTAACTATTGGTAAACTGTATCTGTCTGCTTTTCGCACAACTGTGGACAAATCTTGCAAATGTGATGAGAGGAAAGCTCTGTATGTTGACGTTAAACCTGCTGCCCGGGCCTGTTGAAAGCACTGATAATCTGCTCGCATGTCGCCAGAAAATGGGAAATTCAAAGCCACCAGATGCAGCTTGAAAACAGAAAAGAAACAATAACCTTCTCAGTTATAAAATCTGTTAACCAATCCACATCTTCTTGATGGGGAAAACATGTCCTTGAGGAAAACAGACAGACAGGTAGCTGGGACTGATATGGAATATCTTTCAGAGTAGAACATTTATTCTAAACCTTTCATGATGAAGAATTATAGTTGCCACCATAACATCACATTTCTTAAATAAGTCATGTTCAGTTTGATGAGCTGCAATCCAGCCCACAGCAGAAATATATTATTATCTTTGAGTAGTTAGACATCCAAACACAAAATTTCAGTTTTAAACTACTGTTGAGATTTGCTAAATAGTAACCCTTCAGTTGTCACCACATTACTTACAAAACCCCAAAACTTGGAAGTGAATAAATAAATAGTTAAGGACATTGTTATGCACTGACCACATAAAATCTATTGTTATCAAATACAATACACATATTTTAATCACAACATAAAAGTTTAAATTCTGATTCATATGTTATTTTTCAGATATAATGTCATTATCTTTCTTTAAATATTGAAACAAAAAACTTTTCCAAAAATGCAAGCTTAGATTATAAATGATCCTTTTGACGAAAATATCCATCAAGTTTCCATGGGAAAGATAAAACAGTTCCAATAGTGCTAAGTAAAACCCAGTCATAACCTTAAAAAAGTAGCCTGTATTTTAGATTGAGGCCATTATTTACAGCTAAGAAAATCAGGTATGTTTTTATTACAGGCATATGACAAAGGTTATATATAATCACCAAAGAATAATGCTTAATGAGGCCATTTAAAGGTTTGTACAATTTCTAAATTCTTTGAAAGCTGTACCTGAAATGTCTCAAAATAAGTTCTGTGAATTTAGAGGATACCTTGAAAGCACATGAAAGAGATTTACTTTACTTTGTACACAGATTGCAACTATGCAGCTTCAGTGGTGTCTCTACAATATAATTATCTTACTTACTGATGGTTTTCCAGTGTCAATATTGGAAAAAGTAGTCAGTGCTGGAAGAGACTGAAAGCCCTGTGGTGGAACACACAGCAACAAATCACTCACAAATATAAGTTGACTATGATGTCCAGAGCAGGGAAAACACAACCTTTTTTTACTTCAGTCCATTGGGGGAAACATCCCAGATCAGCATTTCAGCTGTTCAGTAATATTTCTTAATAAAATAAAAATGGAACTACAGAAATGTGAAATCGTGTTGCTCTGAATGATGATATTCTCAAACTTTAAATTAACGTACTTCTACCAATTTAGAAAGTCACCTCGGCACATGGTGAAATGCTGTCCTAAACAGAGATGCTTTTCCTAGGTCTCAGAGCCTAACACTTATCTGACTGAGTGAGCATCGGTGGTTGAATGTTCTTGAAGATATGTACTGAAGCTGCTAATACTGAGTTTGGAGGAGTTGGGGCAAGAATGGATTAAAAACAAAAGAATGAAGGTGAGGTGAGACAAGATATTCAATGCAATGCAAGATATGGACTGCACCATGCCTCAGCAGCTCCCTCACAGAGACAGGAACAGGACCTACCAGGGGATCAAAGTAGGTCTTTCCCTGTAACACAGCTTGCCCATATAAAAATTAATAATAACAGAAGCTTAATTTTAGTTAGCCCTTGGCTCATGTTTATCATTGTCTTACAGAGTACTGAAGTTACATGCTAGGTGTTAAGGACTTGCATCTACTTAACTTCTAAATTTCTCTGAAACTAACCCTGGGCTTGATATGGCTCATTTCCATATTCAAAACTAGGGCATGGGCTATTTGAACACTGCTTCAAAGATGCCTTTTGCCTCAGCAGTATGCAGAACCTCATAGGTAGGGGCCTATTGAAATTACAATTTTGTGATTTTTGCAGAACTGTGATTTTGGGTGGCCTCTGTGAAAAAGCACAGGTTCCCTGGAAAAAACAAAACAAAATACTTACTGAATACATGCTGGCTCCCTCTGGGGAGTCAGCAGTCTTTGTGGCCACTGCGGCCTAGTCACACTGGGGGGGAGGAATGGCTGCTGTCACATCAAGGTGACTGCCACCCCTGTCCCTCACCACTGACTGGCTGCGAGGGCTGTCTGTCATATGGTCCCACCTCTCTCCACCAATCGGTGGTGAGGGGCAGGGCCTCTGCAGCTAATCAGCAGTGAAAGGTGTGGCCATATGATAGTCCTCACAGCCAATCAGTGGGGAGGGGCAGGGCCACCAAGGCCCCTCAGCCAATGAGAGGTGTAGGGTCCCCACCATGCTTGGCCTGTGAAAATGGGTGCTGACCCTGCAATATGCTTGCAAAATCAGCTGCAGCCACCTTGAGTTCAGTAGACTCCTACTCTTAAGTAAACAGAGTAGCCAATGCCTAGTCATAACCAATTAGGGAACTCATGTAGTGACATGACCAATGTGCAGGGCTGAAAGGTCACCCAGGTTAGAATTCCTGCTCACCCACCGCCCCGAAAGCCTGTTGTGGGGGAGCCTGTATACAATATCTGCCAAATGTTCCCCCAGTTTCTGCTTAGTCAGACCCACAAGTTTTCACAGTCCAAAAGAGTTTTGCACTTACATGGCTTGAAACTGCTGGAGGAGGAGGGCTGTCAGCAGGGATGGGAATTAATTCTCCCAGCTGGAAGGACAGAGAATGAAGAGGGAAATAGAAACATATAAAAGTGAAAAAATTACAGCAATTAAGAAAGTACTGCATGAAAGGAAAGTATTTGTACCAGCTCTCCCTTCTTTGAGAATATTTGCAACAACTTCATTGAAGATAGGAGAGTTGAAGCGAATCATGAAGCAGTGCTATAATACCTGCAATTTTCTCCAGCCATTTCGAACACGGATAAAGACCTCGCTGTTTTCACGCAGATAGATTAATGTTCCTTCTGCCACCAAGTGAGCCTTTTGCAGCATACCCTCAATATTTCTGAATGTTGTAACCTGTCAAGTAATCAAAAATAAAATAAAATAAACCCCACGCCTAGCAGCATGAGATGCAAAGGATATTTACAGATAAATACATTCATTTGAAGAATGCCAGTAATGACAAGACATTTTCTGAGCAGTAAATGCATATAGAGCCCATTGCATCTCATTCCACCCAACTCTTCTTGTGAAACATAATGTAAGCATAAGCTTTTAGAACAGTAGGGAGTGTAGGCCAAATTCACTTATATTGTATCTCCACTGATTTAAACAGAATTACACAAGGGGTATATTTTGTTTTGTATGGGATAAACACACTGTTACAACTTGGTACAATTGGCTGGGGCAGCAGAATTTGAAAGATGATTTGGAAGTTTCAAAAGAGATTCAGCAACAGTAGCTGGAGTGAAGCAGGATGCAGTTTGTAAATTATATCTCATTCACTGAGCTAACAAAATCAGTTTCTGTTACTATCATATCTGTCTCACTGTTTTGATCCAATTAGCAAACTTAATTCAGACATTTAGTTTATTGATTTCTATGAGACATAATCTCTAACTGAATCTGAAGGAGAATGCAGAACTAATCAAATAATGAAACAAGGTTTGGATGAGTGGTTTTCTCCTTCTGGTACTTTAGAAAGAAACCAATTTCAAAGTATAGCATCTTAGAATGAAGGTGACTATAGAACAGTGATTCTCATTCCCTGGGGTGCTGCCAGATCCTTTGAAGAGTGCCATGAGGTGTAAGGAGAAGTGAAGGCTCGGGGTGACTTGGTGGCAGCCTATAAGTATATAAGGGGTGTGCATCAGAAACTGGGAGAATTTCTGTTCACCAAGTCACTCAAAGGGAAGACAAGGTCTAATGGTCACAAACTCCAAGAAAACCATTTTAGACTGGATATAAGGAACAACTTCTTTACTGTCCGAGTTCCCAAAATTTGGAACAGACTCCCACCAGAAGTGGTGCAAGCACCTACTCTGGATGCCTTTAAGGCACGTTTGGATGCTTATCTTGCTGGGATCATTTGACCCCAGCAGACTTCTTGCCTCTTGGGTGGGGGGCTGGACCCAATGATCTTGCGAGGCCCCTTCCAGCCCTAACATCTATGAAATATGAGATATGCAGAAAAACACAGGCTAAGACTCATCTCTGCCTGGCTAATTCCCAACCCTCACTACTTCATCCCTCTGCAAGGAGATAAGCACTGTAATATATAAGTTAGTTTTTGAAATTGGGTGCAACTCAATTCATGAAAGTTATGGAGGGGTACCTTGAGTCCAATGAGATGTGCCTCAAGTCCAAAAAAGGTTAAGAACCACTGCTGTAGCAGATTGCTTTACTATTCTGAGATGTCACTTGTTAGCTGGCTATGGTCAGATCACTGTGCTTCACTGATTTCCGATATCAAATGTATTCAATTTATAGGCAAATATTATGTTGTCTGGTACTGATTACAGAAGGTCTCTTCATTTTAAGCTGCTCTTCTGGCTTGTTGATTGATGCTTAATAGCACAATATTATGTTGAATGGTTGGGAGAAACAATTGGAAGAGATGGCAACCTTGACTGAAGGTTTGGATGGGAAGCAGTCCTGCAGGGATCGAATGGGGAGGTCTAGTAATTTCTATTATATTTGAGGTGCTGGGAGATTTGATATGGCTGAGTAAACTGGATGGTCTGCTTATTAAGGCATTTGAAAATGAATGCCAACAATGCCAAGGCCATTCAAGGAGCTTTTGGTGGAATTTAGCAGAAAGCTGAATAAACAAGTCTCTGAATAAACAGGTTCTTAACTTGCATACGGGACCTCTACCTAATACAGGATGTATACGGTTCCACTATGGGAAACACCTTGCCGGACTTGGCAGGGAATCTGCAGGTACACGGTAACCTAGGGGATAGTGACAATCGATTGATTGAATTCACTATCCGGTGAAGGGTGGGTAAACTAACCAGCACAGCTGAAGTGTTAGACTTCAGAAAAGATTCTTCAGCATGCTCAGGAGATTAGTTAATGAGGTGTTAAAGCTCAAGAGCATTGGTAAAATGGGGGTCCAGGAAGGGTGGTTGTTCCTCAAGGGAGTGCTCCTACAGGCACAGAAGGAGACAATCCAATAAAAGTGGGCAAAGGGGCCAAGAAGCCCTCTTGGCTGAAAGGGAAGTCTAGGAAAGCCTAAGGGCAGAGAAAGAGGTATACAGGCTGTGGAAACAGGGGTAGCTACCAAGGAGGAATATACTTCCCTGGCTTGCACTTGCAGGGAATCAGTTAGGAAGGCCAAAGCAGGATTAGAACTTAAGCCTGGTAACAAAACCTAAGGACAACAAAAAGTCCTTCTTTAGGTATATAGGGAGCAAAAGGAAGGTGCAGGGTAGCATAGGACCCCTCCAGGACAAACTGGTGACAGACAGGGGGGACAAAGCTAAACTCTTCAATGAGTTCTTTGCATCTGTATCCCTAGACACAGGCCAAGAAAAATCTCCCAATTGGATCATAGATGAAGGGTCACTTGGAGAGGCTAGATGTGTTCATATCAGCAGGCCCAGATGATTTTCATCCAAAGGTGCTGAAGAAATTGGCCAGAGTCATAGCAGAGTCACTGGTACGGCTGTTCGATCACTCATAGTGATCTGGTCACATCCCAGAGGACTGGAAAAGGGCCAATTTGATCCCTATTTTCAATAACGGGGTGGGGAGGAACTGGGAAACTGTAGGCCAGTTAGTCTCACCTCCGTCCTTGGGAAAACTCTGGAAAAAATCATTAAGGATCACATTTGTGGGAGCCCAGCAGGGGAAATAATGCTGAAAGGAAATCAGCACGGGTTCATTGCAGGTAGATCCTGCCCGACTAACCTTGTTTCTTTTTATGACCAAGTCACAAAATGCTTAGATGTAGGAGTCGAGGTAGATGTCATCTACCTAGACTTTAAGAAGGCCTTCGATAATGGTATCACATTCCGTTCTCATAAATAAACTGAGAGGCTGTGATGTAGATGATTACATGGTCAGGTGGGTGGCAAATTGCCTTAGGGGTTGCACTCAGAGAGTGATGGTGGATGAGTTGATACTGAACTGGAAAAATGTGGGTAGTGGAGTCCCACAAGGCTTGGATCCTTGGACCAGTGCTATTTAATGTCTTCATCAGTGACTTGGATGAGGGCATGGAGACCACCCTGTCCAAGTTAGCAGATGATACCAAATTATGGGGCAAAGTTGACACCAGAGGGTAGGGAACAGATCCAGGTGGATCTGGACAGGTTGGAAAAATGGGCAGAATGAAATAGGATGCAGTTCAACAAAGACAAGTGCAAAGTGCTGCACGTGGGCAAGAAGAACCACCAACACACTTACAGGCTGGGGGATGACCTTCTCAGCAGGCACAGCAGTGGAAAGGGATCTTAGAATCATAGTTGACTCCAAGATGAACATGAGTCATTAATGTGATAGGTGGCTCCAGGCTACAAGGAGCACCCAGAAATAATACTACCAGTGGGCAAACCACCCCCAAGGTCTGCAGGGTCTGTGTATCCTGGGCTGCACAGAGCCCTAATACAGACCAAAGCCCAGGTGGTGGCAGCAATTACCCCAGACTTGAGGGTGTGCTCCAGGAAGGGGGTCAGCCACACGCACACAGGCACCCCGGGGGAGACACCTGAAGCATGGTGTTGGTTGGGCGCTGGGAGGTGGGTGGGTCAGCGTAGTAGCACCCCCTACTGTCCTACCACAGCATAAACCCATGCAAAAATAACCCAGAGCTTATACTTCAGCAAGCAACTCCCTCTGAGCATGAGAGTGATTTAGATTGGTCTGGGAATTAGCCCAGTCAGAGTTGGGGGATAGGAAAAGTGCAGCCCTGAGGTGGGGTTCACTTTCCGAGCCCTGGGACTGCAGTCTGAACATTTACAGACATTCAGGAGACTGGGTTAACCCATTCCTGATCTAACTTAATTCACCTCCTCAGGTGAACTAAGTTAGACTGGGCTACCCTTTTTTTGCCTCATCAAATGTGTGTACAGATCAGCACTTAGATCGACTTAACCCTAGTTAGGTTCATATAAATGTAACATCTACACATACCCAGAATCCTCTTCATTCTACTTCTCACTTCTTTGGATAAGAAGCTGATAGTAAGCCCACAAACACAGCTTTCCTCTGTTCTATTCTATTCCCTCTCTCTTCCCATCTACTGTTTCACCAGAAGTGAGGCATCAGTGGCTCAGAAGCAGATGTAACTTGCTTTGTCTTCTACAGAACTGTTTCCAATGACTTACAAAGCATCTAGAAAAGGCAAATTTTGAAGTTTTTGTCTCTTACCAGGTTCCTGGTCCCTGGCAATCCTGGTTCTCCTGGAGGCCCTGGTGGCCCTGGAATTGCAGCTGCTAAAATAAAGCAAAAATTTACTTTGTAGGTCTTTCTTCTTGGAAGACAGACAGAGAAAACTTGGTTGTGCTGTGCAGGGTAAAGTTTTTGACAGTGAGAGTTCATGATAACGTGTTTGCTTAGCAGCTTGTCCCAGCTTGGACATTTTTGAGCATCCCCTGACCAGCTGCTCCCAGTTACATACACCAAAGCAACAATGCAACCAGGAGAGTGCTCCAGGGTCATCCCTACCCACTGCTTTCCAGCATGCTGCAGATTGGGGTCACAAGAGTAGTCATACAAGGATGCCTAGAGTATTTCCTCTAGTATATATCTGAGTTTAGATTGTGCCAGGGGCAGTGGGTGGGTAGGAGCATGCTTTGGAACAGTCAATTGGAACATGTTACTGCTGTACTGTAGACAAGCCCAAAGTCCTGAATAAAAAATATGCAGAAAATATATTTTACAAAGGTTTTAAAACCAGTTTTTGTGATTTCATTTTTTGTTTGCATTCTTACATCTGGCTGCCTTACGCATCTGTTCTGCAAGCTTTTATGCACATGTTTAACTTTAACAAGACTAATTCCTGTTTACAGGGTTATGTTAAGCATGTGTGTACTTGCAGGGTGAAGGCCCTGGTTACCATTTATATAGAGTTTGCAGGATGCCATATAATACTCTAAAAATAACCTAAAAGATGTTTTCTATACATCAAAAATTCAGAACTATAGGCCAGCTGTGACAAAACTATAGGTCAGCTTTAAGGGCTGAGAGCAGGCAGCTGGCAGGTGCAGGCCAGCCCTGATGAGGCAGCCATTTTAGATCCTGGCTCTCACTGCTGAGGCAGCAGTTCACTGCAAGCAGCTAAAGAAGCAACAACATCTAGTGAGCTGCTGGTCATGTAACACCTTGGTGGTAAGGGAGGAACTATGGGGATGGCAGGAGGTTCCTACAGACCCAGTGGGGTCCAGAGCCCCAGAAAGAAGCCTTGGGCCTAGTTAGAACAAGGCCCAGCTTAGGCATGAGGCTAACAGCTGGTAGGCCTACAAGGGGGCTAGGCAAGCTCTGGAGTAGAAGAGGGCTCTCTGGTGGGACTCAGGTGAATGGGGGTCAGCAGCTGCTAGGTTGACTCTCTGGTCCCTTGCATTGGTCAATGCAAGACGACCAGGGCTGAAGGGCCAAAGGGCAATTAAGCCCAATGTCAGGGGAAGGCCAGGACCACTGTGAGCTTTCTGGCACCCTGACTGGTGTGGAGGCAGCACCAAAGTCTGTAAGGGCTGGAGGTCCCTTTGACTGGGGGTCAGGGTGGGGGGGGGGGACAACACAGCTGAAGATGGTAAGGGTCAGTCAGCATGCAGGCTGTTATAAGATCAGAATGGGACCAGAGTGAGAGCTGGACCCAGTAAGAGACAAAGCCCAAGGAGAGCATCCAGGAGCCCCAATGAGGGAGCCAGACCAGGGCAGGTAGGCCTGCTTGGTCCTGGGTAAGACTGAAAATTGCACCCTTCCAGGGAAGGGTGGTCAGCTGGGGCTGTCTATGGTGGGACAGTCCCCCAGAAATGCTAGGTCTGTTACCTCCCTGGTGAAAGGTGGGTAGGGGCACCTGATAACCCCAGCCCCCACCACTCAGTGGGTCATTAAGACCAGAGGGTAGCAGGGCCAGGCATGTCTATGGGAGAGGCACCTGAGCCCATGGGTGTGTAATACCCTGAGGCCCCAGCATAGGGATGGAGTGTGGGCCCCAGTGAATGGGACAGAGTAGTTACCCTGGTGAAGGGGTGGAGTATTGAGGACCCAGAGAAGGGGGCGTGTGTTGAGGCCCCAGGAAAGGGGCAGTTAGGCCCAGGTAAGTCTTGTTCACTCTGAGCCTTGAGCTAGTGAATTTAGGAATGAAGACTCCATATTTAGGAGGGAAGGAAGGAAGTATTTCTTCATCAGTTTGAACATGCATGCATCATACCATGTCAGTGGCTGTTTGACACTGCTCAGAGGTTTGGAATGCCACAAATAATTCTTGCTAGTTGAATCGCAGTAGGTGTGGCTACATGTATAATTAATGTGACTGAATATACTCTGGTTCAATTTGAGCTGAACTTGATGTCACCATCTTTTAAGCACAGTAACTTATTGATGACTTGTATCTGATGGAACTATCCAGCAGCACAGTAAATTAGTCTACTGTGCCCTAATTGCCATGCATGAGTAGATGGTGACACTTACTGTGCAGCAAATTACTCTGCTATGCAGTAGAGTGTCTTGTGTAGATGTGCCCAATAAGAGCTAAATAGCTCCTTGGGAGTTGAATATAGCTCCTTCCATTCATGTTTAGCTACACGTGTTTGGCCCAAACTAGAGAGTCCCAGCTTGGCTAAGGGAGGCAAAGGAGAGTGTGATAGGGGTGCTTTAGGGAGGGGGAAAAGCTGTATGGAAATGGAAATGGAAAGCACACCTGGGGTGCACTGAGGAGTGGAAAGAGAGAAGAGTATAGTCAACGGATAATCTGGGAGTCTGAAAGCTGGTGTCCCCAAGCACCCTAGAGGAATTTGAGTTACATTTTCTTAATTTTCTCACAATAAATACAAACAGTCTCCAGCCACGCCCAGCCCTGCCCTATGTTTCCTAGAATCTGTACTTGAAGTTTCTGAAGCCTGTCAACCATACAAACTGCACCATGGGCTCTATAGAACAGAGAATACTGGCACATGATATTTACAAACTGGAGGAGAAATCCCATGTGGTAATTTTCCTTCTATCGGAAAAGCTCTGGTGAGGGTAGGTGGCTGGATTTAACATGGTATTCCAACTGTTCTTCATCCATGGCCCATCAGAAAAATTTCTTAGGTATCTTGCCTGTCATGTGAGTTGTGGGATGAGTTACAGAAAAAACAACCAGAGAAGACAGGGCATGATCCGTTAGGCAGGGGGTGCAGCAGGGGCTACCATCTCTGCAGCTTTCACCCTGCTGCACCTTAACACACACAGGGTCATCTATGTCACGAGTTTTGCCTGCCAGCAGTTTGAGGTGCAGTTCCCCACAAACCTCTGCACCTATGTCGTTGAAACTTGGCAAACTTTGTGGCCTCACCAGGGGATAAAACCCCTGCAGATTTCACCCCCCTGTGGTATAATACATACATGTGGCGTGAGTTTTGCTTTCAAGCATTTGGGGTACAGTTTCCCCCCAAACCCCTGCACCAATCTTCTTGAAACTTGGCAGGCTTCATGCTCTCAGCAGAAGCTACCATCCCTGCAACTTTCATCCAAATCAGACAAAAAAAAAAAACAGGTTATAGATATTTCATTCCCCACTATACCCTATGGCCAGATCTCCAAAGTAGCTCTGAAGCTTTTCTGAAGTGCTTCAGAAGTTCCAAACCACTTTGGAAAGCCTAACAAAGCCAGCGCTTTGATCCAGATATGCCGCTTTGGATGCCGTTTTGGATGCTGAAACGTCTGAAGCTTCTTCAGATCCGAAGCATGGTCCGAAGCCTCACACAGCCCTAGAGAACGTATGTTTGTTATTGTTAAACTACCCCTAACACTGAAATATCTTTCCAAACTTAAGTATTAAAATTCTGGTGCTGTTGAAATGATCCCTTTGAAATAACTGCTATGTGCCAGATGACAAGGGCAGGAACTTCTTGTTTTCCACCATACAGCATACGGGAGCTTTGATGGAGCTAACCAGAACCTTTGTAAATGGAAGTTAAGTTACTATCTGCACATCCATCATGTAGCTGAATAAACAAGCTTCACATAAAGCCAGGACAAGGAGGAGGTCAAGGAGGACTAAGATCAGTGGCAGTACAGCTAACACAGCAAATGTTCCATGTTATTTTGGTTACTCTGACTGTGTCTGTCAAGAAATTATAGAAGTGCTTGGCATTAAGGACATGAAAGATGCTAGTAACATTTTATGAATATGATATATAGCTATATTTAATTACTAAGACTGTTGTTTACTGGAGCCTGAATTCTATTTGGTCCTGGTCACCTAAACAATACACCCATACACAATAAGTATGTGTATGTGCTCTGCATGCCTTCCTATAATCAGCCACAAATGCAGAGCTACGTGTCAAGGAATAGAATTTATCTAGGTACTTGTGTGCCAAAAATGGCATGTAAGAAGCCAAAGCATGACCACTTATGCAACCAGGAAGGGAATATAATGCTAAGGGGTAGTTGTGTGTGACTATAAAAAAGGGAAGTAGTAAATATTTCTGATAGCTGCATATTTACTGATAATTAAAAGGAAATGTGAAAAATGTACTGCTTGGAAATCTATTCCCAGCCCTCTGATCAGGGGCATAAACCAATCTGACTAAATTCAAGAGGTACAGGTGACAAATATCTGGGACACTGATAACAGACCTGGCTCCTGAAGATGGCAGCTGGGAACAAAGGTGAGGGGAAGAGGGACTGTGGGAAAATTATGCCAGAATGTAGGGCAGGAGCAGTAAGAGTTAAAAGATATAGGTCTGAAGTTGAGTGGGAGGCAACATGATGCACCAAAATATTTGGAATCTATTCAAGAATATTCTGAGATGGACAGTAGTAGTACAAACTGGTACAATATATAAGGAAACCATATAGGCTGGTACAAACAAGCCTGGTACAATATTTACAACGTAAGTTTATAAATCAGCAAATTGTAAGGTTCATGGCACCAAAAGTGATTCAGTCATACACGGGCAATGATGAGTGTTTAGTTCATGATCAGTAACATGACTAGTTCATAGTGGTATGGTCAGCAATACAAATGGTTATAGAAATATGTGACCAAAACAATTTGGAGATGTATAAGCCCTTTAAGGTATGACAGGGTAAAATAAAAACCCACCTTGCATTTGTGTTTAACCTTGCCCTATCCCTGGTATTGGCCATTCTGATTAGCTGGCCGATAGGATGAGTAAAGGTACACTAAGTTTATTTGAACTGTGTTGTGGTAGGACCTAAGTGGGCCTTGGAGGCAACAACAAGAAAAAAAACACGATTACAACTGAGCTCTTAGATGTGGAGTCACTACTTTGCCTATGCAGGAAACTTACCACGGCAAGAAGGGTTGTCCTCACCCAGACAGTGCTACTCAGCACCAGCTGTCTCCTGGACCCAAAGCAGTGCCACTGCATTCATTGTGGTGCCATGGGCAGATTGATCAGCACTGTCACTCAAGGGTGCTAACAACTGGAAGAAGCATTGTGCAAATGTGGCTATACTGCTTCTGATGCAGGAGCGTCTGTGCAGAGCAGCATGGTGTGCTTGAGGATGTATTTCCTGATACAGCAGTTTATGGAATAGACATGCCCACAGACATCCTGGTAGCCTGCCAGTGGTGTTAACAATACCTTTGCTCTTGTTTTTCTCTGTTTCTTCTTTTGTGATTAATATTTTGTTCTTGAATGGCTTGCTTGGCTGACTGTACTCTCAGACAGCTCCTGGCTCTAAGAGGGAAGAGAATCACAGGCTCCAACCCAGTCAGGCTTGTTGAGTAATCCCAATGGTACACAGGGTCTCAAGCTGCGGAGCCTAGTCTGGGCGTGGAATTACCATATAATTCCAACACGGGACAGGCAAGAGGCCTCTCACCTGGAAAGATGCACTCAGGAAGACTACAGCGGTCTTGCACAGTGACACCTGATTTACAACTAAGTTTTCCCAGGGTTTGAGAAATAAGAACCCCTGAGAAAGTACTTTGGATACAAACTGAGAAGTACTGAAGCCAGTTGTGGGCTCAGCTGGTTTACAAAGCTCCTCCCTCTCATTTGAACAGATGAGTTATATTTCCTCCCCTTGCTAATCCAGTAACTACAAAATTGACCAAAGCATAAAAAGCAACTACAAAAATCAATGCGGTTGAAACATTCTTATGGCTGTTTTGTTGAGACTCTGTAGTACTTCTGTGCTTAAAAGCAGATATTGAAAGGGGATTGCCTTTATATTAGAGAGATACCTTTTGCTGCTTGCATGAAAACCCCCCCATTTTGACAACACGAAGCCTACTAACATTGCCATTTCCACATGCTCAGTAGCAATCTGGTGAAATTCTCCACACATTCCATCTCAACTAAGCATGCTTGTTTGCTATGGTGCTTTCTGAGCCTGCACCAGAACTGGGCTTAGCAGGACCCTCCTTTGCAATTACTCCTCTTGGCTGTCACAAGCTGCTGTGGCACTAGTTAGTGGAAATGTGCTCTCAGTCCTAACTTCCCCAACAACTTAAATCCAGACAGTGCAGTGGATAAGGAAGCAGCCTGACTCAAACCTGGAGGTCTGAGGAGTAGAGGCATGGTGCAGGGAGCCTGCAAGCATGTACATTCAAACCCTCTCACCTGAGCCATATATTGCTGGAGGTCCTGGGGGCCCAGGAGGACCTGGTGGGCCAGGAGGGCCAACTTTTCCATACCCTGGAGACCCAGGCAGGCCAGGTAATCCTGTGGGCCCTCTGGGCCCAACAACGGAGTCCCCCTTTGGTCCCTGTCAAGACAGAAAATATTTTTATTTTTTATGTAGAAATTAAATGGGTGAAACTGCCTAGACACACAAAAGCTTAACACCAACCCAGCATGCCTTTGCATTGGTCTGAATAAGGGATAGAGGCATGACACACAGCCCTGCATTTAGGTAACTATATAGCATCCAGTGCAGAATTATCTGGGGAATTATCATGGGTAAAACTATTATATATGGGGGAAAGTGACACCAGTGTTGGTATTATGTATTCTGGGGTAACTGTTTGCTAAATCTCACCAGGCTATTCTTGCCTACTCCACCCTGCTTACTGGCTAAATACTGTACTAGCACCTACTGTGGCAGCTACCCAGAAGAGCTGGTTATCTGCTCTGCACACTGATGTTGCTCAGACTGGTGCATAAATTATGTGCGTTACTTCAGCATTAGTAAGTCACATGTCCAGGCCCTGAGTGAGCAACACGTGCACCATGGTCTCCAGGGACAAGTTTCAAAACCAGAAATCTAAATGTAGGTCTTTACATATTGACATGTAAGTCTGATAAAGCGATTGGCTTTTTGGAAGCAAAACCTAGGAGACAGCATCAGACTCTACAAAATCACTGGAAGTGGGCACAGTCTATACCCCTCCCAGTTCCAGTTAGCCTATCTGCCTTAGTGCAGTGCTACAAGTAAGCTACTTAGCTCTGCTGAGAGGCAAGGCTGATTAGGCTGTACAATATCACTGTACATCTTAACCTTGCATTCATAGCTGAACCTCACATAGACCATATCCTATTTCACCTATTAGGCATTTAAGTGGACTTAGGCACCAAAGTGTGATTCTTCTCCACCCTGTTGAAGTCCTGAAAATCCATTACTTCAATTGGTTTTGTAACACACAATCATCTGCTGCTTAAGACTGAGTCATAAAAGACAGTGAGGAACAGGAGGAGCAGTCTGGCTTTTGCATTAACTATTCTTCAGGGACTTGAGCAGGGTGGAATAGGATCATACTTAGGGGCCTAAGTCCAATTAGATGCCCAATAGGTGAAACAGAATCGGGACTTAAATATATATTGTAGCACAACATATAAGTTGTTCTGATAACCTCTCTCATCACAACCACCACCCACCTGTCTTCCATATCCCTGGTCCTGCCACCTCCCTCCTAACAGAAAGCTTCATTTCTCGGTGGCTGCCAATCCATGAGTGCCAGAACACGGCATCTTGAAATGATAGAGGCTGGTGCTCCCTATGCGAGGTAGCATATCCCATCAGACCCGACTGCATATATAAGAACCTCTCCAGGTCATACACTAGAAATGCCTGGCCCTTGTTTACTGGAGGTGGTGAAGACTGGTTTCTAGTAGTAGGAAGTGGGGCCAAACAAGACTCACTGCAGGAAAGTGTCCTTGCCTCACACTCCTTCCCACTTGCCACGAAACTTCCTTCCTGTCTGATGCATTTTTCCCCCATGGAACTCAGACAACCCCATGTTAAAGCTAGCTGCCAAGTATTGAAGCTAGTTGCTGTCCACCTGGGGCTTAGCTAGTTTACCAAGGATCAGCAGAGCTGAGTCTAGAGCAGATGGTATGGTGATTAACACAAGATAAAAAAAAACTAGGCAGAGATTAGATACTAGCTGACTTTTATTGGAATTGTTCAGGCTGCCACAAATTTAGCTTTCCATTCATTTTTCTGAATTACTGGAATGGAAATACCATGAATTAACTACCTGGCCACCTTTTTTCCAGCGAGTCACTAAGCAACAAGACAATGACTACAAATTCTGTTGCTGAGTGAGGGACCATATCACTTACAACAAGTCCAGGTCTTCCTGGGGGCCCAGGAGGCCCTGTCATAAAGAACCCTCCACTTGGCTCCCCCTTTTCTCCTTTTAAGCCAGGCTCTCCACTGTCTCCTTTCTCACCCTAAGAGGAGAAATATATGAAAACATTGAGCTGAATTCAGATTGAAATTGTACAATGATCTTGTAAAATTACACTATAGGTTTCAACTTAGTACAGCATAATATGAGTTTAAAATCTGTTTCTTGGTATCACTCCCTTCTTCCATGACATAGAATGAAAACCTACATTTTCCCCCCTCAGGATACAAGGGCAAGATTTCTTTAACATAAAGAAGAGAAAATTATGAGGCGATACCGTCTTTATCTTACTTCTGTTTCTGCTATCTTACAAAACAAAAATCCACATGGCATTGCAAATTTATCAACTTGGAATCTGGAGGCAAAACAGTGTCGGTAATGAGAGGTGGGATTTTCTACCCACTTTTACTTATTCTTTGAAAAAAGCGAAAGAAAAGTTTTGCCAGGTGGAATAGATTTTTAAAGGCATACAGAAAAGTGAGGATTATAGTACATTGGATGTGGGGGGAAGCAAGAGAAGAAGACAGGACAGGAGAAGAGGAAACATACATATGACCATCTCTTGGATTTCTCTTCTTCTCTCATCCTACTTAGATGTTTATCCTCTGGCTGGCAAAAGGAATGACAGGATGGAAGAAGGAACCTTGAAATATAAAGTCATTATTTTCCCACAGACTAAGAACCCCATCGACAGGAAGTATCACAATATTTCTGGCATTATGTTGGGGTGTTGCTTTCTCTTCCATCCTTTTGGTCTTTTCCACCTGTTCTTGCTGGGATACAAGTCAGAATGGAGAAGGCAGCAGAAGCAAGAACTGTGTGGTGCCAAGACTGAAGGCAACATAAAGGAGGTAGAACTAGGCACAAACAGCATATGCAATTGAGGGATTTCTCCCTTTTGTTTTCTAGTAAACAGAACTGTTATGTGTGTTGTGTGGCACTTCGTCATGTGAGGGGACTGTTATGTGTGTTGTGTGGCACTTCATCATGTGAGGGGACTAATGAAAAACCATCACCATATTTGGATCACAGATGTCAAATATGGCCTGTGGGCCAGATCCAGCTCGTGGAGTAGTGTATCTGGCCCACTGGACTACCAGTAGTCACCAGAAGTTGGGAGCCATGGCTGACATGAGTGTCTTGCTACAGAAATCTGGGGACCTTGGGCGCCTGGTGGACACGGGAGTTTGCGGCAGGAGGGCAAGCCAGGGCTGACATAGCCCTGGTTGTCCTATGGCTGGGTTGCTTTGCCTACTGCCACCATGACCCAAGTCCACAGCCACTAATTCTGCTGCCACCACTGCTGCATGTCCCATGCAGGACCTGGAGCTACAGCTGTTGCCTTCGTGTGCTTCAAGAAGGACCTAGAGCTGAAATTGTCACCTTCATGGGCCCTATGTGTGACCTGAAGCCAGAACTATCATCTCTGTGTGCTCTGTGTTGGAGCCAGTCTACCACCCTGGCATGAAACACGTTTGGAGCAGCAGCTCCAGCTCTGGCATAGGGTACGCAGCATACAGCACATGGTGGGAGCTGGAGCCACTCCTGCCACAAGCACTGGGCAGGAGCTGGAGCTGGAGCTGGAGCTGCTGCCACCAGATCCATCCTGTGCTTTGGGCTAGATCCAGTCCACAAAGAGCCTTGTTGTCTGGACCCAGTCTGGGGCAGGAGGTGAGTTTAACACCCCTGTGTTAAATCAAATTAGGCACATCATATCCGTCTTTCAGTATATGCACACTATGCATTATGCCATAGAAATAAACATTGATTTACATGAGTAGAAACAAAGCTGAACAAAGTCCTCAACTTGATAATGTTTCTTCAGGGGGATTGGTAATACTATTATATGCTATGATTTTTTCTAGTGACACTATGATGCAATATTCTGATAACATGACATAGATCTTATGCTAAATAAGACTGATAACAGTTCTATTTCAGTTACAGCAAAATAAAAGCATCTTAAATTAATATTCCATTAGTCTTTAATTCCATTACTTAAAGTAATCCATAATTGGGGAATAGGTGAATACTGGCAATAGGGAGATACCAAATGTATATAGATTACTTAATAGACTACTCTGGGAAACAAGTAAGTGAGGAAAGAACAGGTGCCTCTCAGTAATTTTACTTATTTATTTTATCAGGCCTGAAAACAGGATGAACAGGATTACAAATACATTATTTTTTTATGTATTAACTGAAGCTAAACCTGCTTTAGCAGCCTTTGTCGATACAAATGTTCTCTTACTCCTCTAAGTGATATAAAAGAGTTTGGGAAATGTAGAGGACTTAACTTATGCTAGTTAATTTAATGAAGAAAATAACAAAGAACAGCTCAAATTAAGAAAGTCAGTGAAAAGAAAACATCTAATTTCTAAACCCTACTGAATGATCATTCTTGTACACTCCTGATATACAATTTATTCTTCTATTTGGAAAATTCTACAATAATGAAAATAACTTTTTACTACAAAGTAATCTGAATAATTATATAACATATAATTTTGTAATTACTGGTATAAATCTGTATTTTGGATATTCCAAAATTGTGGATGTTCAGCCTCCACAAAAGAAGGCTGAGAAGACATTTTGTGGCCTTCTACAAATTCATCGGGGGCGAGGGGGTGGAGCAAGGAATAGGGGATACTCTGTTTACCAGGGTGCCCCTTGGGGTTACTAGGAACAAAGGCCATAAATTGACAGAGAGCAGATTTAGATTAGACGTTAGGAAAAATTACTTTACGGTGAGGGTTGCCAAAATCTGGGATGGGCTTCCAAGGGAGGTAGTGTTCTCCCCTACCGTGGAAGTATTTAAGAGAAGATTAGACAAGCACCTAACTGGGGTCATTTGACCCCAGCACTCTTTCCTGCCCAGGGCAGGGGGGTGGACTCGATAATCTGCTGAGGTCCCTTCCAACCCTAAAAATCTATGAAAACTATGAAAATCTATTTTCCTATTAATAATTCATCTTATGTTTAAAAAATGATAACATTTAGGATTAAAAAACTGAGCAGAAGTCAAATGCAAGTGGGAATAATTACCTTTATGCTGTTAATAAAGTGGCTGAAATGTGATGAAGGTAAAGAAGGACCTGAAAAATTAAGTACATGATTTTAGTATGAGTATTACCTATAATTTCCATTTTAGGAGCATGAAAAGGACATCATTATAAGCACTGTTCTTTTAGGAGTTTAAAGGAAAACAATTTTCTATAATCATGTTGACCTTTTTCACGTAACAAACATTTTTCCTCTGCATTTTACTGTAGCAAAAGCCAACATAGTTATTTCCTTGTACCAGTATAACTGATTGTGCCAGTGGGACTGCGTCCATGCTCTGGTGGTGGTAAGTGGAAACTATGGAGACAGCACAGAGGGCACCAAACAACCAAACCACTCTCTTGTGCCAAGTTGGTGAAGAACTTTTAAATGACATTAATAATAGTAAGATGCACTTGTGTCCAGCATATATGTAGAAACCCCGAGGTATATTAAGAAACCAGCTAAAGAAGGCTTAATAGTTTACAATATTCAGTTCAATGAAACTGCATGAATGTGTTTGCGCAGCTCCTAATACAGCATGTGGCACTATCTTTAAAGGAAGGCAGCAGAACTGGTTATCTAGCTGTCTCTTGAGCAAAGGCCTAATAACTATTTATTTAAGAGAAGCTGGAACCATTTTGTCTAGCAAGGAAGGCCTAATGTTTTCTGCTAGTACCACACCAAAGTAGTGACTTCCAAAGTCTGACTTCAGTGACCTTTCGATTCAGCCCAAGGCAGATTTTTTTCCTGGCATGTCCAGAATCTCAGGGAGTGATATATTCACTGGGATATTTTCCTGGCACATCCAGAACCATGTTATATAGATACTAGATTTGACCCCTCCAGACATGCTATCATCATAAGAAAGGTTAGCTTCATTAGTAGAATAGCAAAACTATTAAAAAGGAGAGATGATTGTTAACACCTATGGAGTAAAGAACAATGAGCCATTAAAATCAACCGACTCCCTCAGCTGCCTGAATAGTAATGCCACAGCTGTTACACTATGGAGCAGGAATCAAAGCAGGGAGCTTCTATTCCAGGCAGAAAATCAGCTTCCTTACTTGCTACACCTACCCAATTTCAGGGGCTGATTTTGGAAGAAAGGGTGTATGCTGTACATGAGACAAATGCATTGTGACAGAGAAGACACTTCAATAGCTGGATTGATGGTCAAAAGCAAAAATACAACAGTTTTTTGCTCCTGACAAATGTTGATGTTTTATTAGGGTAACACTAGAACAGGCACCGGCTGTTTAGCATTCTCCCTCAGCAAAGTTCTAAACCCAACTGCGTTAATCAAATTCTGTGGGCAGACCAATTAAATGGACTTTTGTTTTTATAAGAGCAAGGATTAAATCTGCCTTCACAGTAGAGGAGAACAATAATTTGAGCATGATGGTGTTATTTCCTTTATCACAGTTCTAGTTCATCTCTTTAGGCAGCATCTAAAATCATCCAGGATAGGCCCAAGGTTGTCACTCATTAGCACTTGCAAGATACTGAATTAAATTGTATGTTTGAATGCAAGCAGCAGTGTGCATATGGGAGATAAATCAGCATAAAACAATCCCCCCCCTCTAATTTTTTATTTGAAAACCCAACTCCAGCAGGGTTTTTTTTAAGTTTGTTGATGTCTGGGTGGCTTCTCCCACAAAACTTTTTAATTCTCATTTTGATCAGCATAAAAATTAATAGGACCAAGAAAAGAAGGTTTATTGTGAACAGACATCCTTTGGAAGATAACAACCCAAGAGCTCTCTCAAGTCATAAAACTATAGCTTTAGAGTAAAGATCAGAAAGATCTGAAATGGAGACAAAGCTTATAAATACAATGCATGAGCATTCTAATATAATAAAGGGCTTAGTCTGTCTGTCTGCCCGTCCATAACGCTTCTGGGCAACTGCGCATGTGCCGCCAAGAGGGCTGGTGGCGATTGGCTGCACAGGCTCTGCCTCGTCAGGCAGGGAGGTAGGTGCTGGGGAGGAGGCAGAGGCGGAGGCAGAGGCGGGCAGGGGGAGGAAGCCACCTCCTCAGGTTGGGGGAAGCCCTGCTGTTCTGCGGGAGGAGGTGGAGGTGGAGGTGGAGGTGGAGGTGGGGGAGGGAGCCGCTGCTGCTGCCTCAGGCAGGGAGGCGGAGGAAGCCCTGCTGCTCCATGGGAGGAGGCAGAAGTGGAGACGGGTGGGTGGGGGGCAGGGAGGTGGCGGGAAACTGCACTGCTCCAGGGGAGGAGGTGGAGGTGGGCAGGGGGGAAGAGCGCCATGGCACCAGATGCCAGAGGAGGTGGCAGTGGCGGCAGAGGGACTGTTTACATGGCCGGCCCCAAAGGGTGAGCGGGGGGGGGGAAGGGGGTTATGTAAACACTCTCATAAACACCCCATCATTCATGACAGGCAATTGGCTAGTATTTTATTAATGTTACACTACTCTTTTTATATTTCAGTATTTCTAACATCTATCCATGTAGTATTGCCAGTTTTCTGATCTTTTCCTAACATGTGGGAATTCAAACTTCCACAAAACAGTGAAACACAACATCCACCTTTTTTCACAAAATGTAATGAACTTAAATGCATCCATATTCAATATGTACATCAACTCCTGCTGCAAAAACTAAGGCCTAAGTCCCATTCCACCTTTCAGGCACCTAAAGTAGACTTAACTGCCCAAGCAAAATCCTGTTCCATCCTACACCGAGTTCTGAAGAAACTGCACATCTTGGAGGTGGGTTCCTTTCTCCTTTGTTGCATTTTTGTGAATTTATTTTAAAGCATGTTACAAAGGTAGATGCAGGAATAATTTCTTGCTTCTTGAGTGCAATGTCCTCCCTGAGCACACCCATTGTAGGGCTACAGTGGTTTTTCGGGGACTTGAGAGGGGTTCAAATGAATTTCACTAAAGCAGTTAAGTCCACTTAGGAGCCTAATAGATGGAACAGGCAATGGCATAACTGCAGTGGGGCAACTGAGGCAGTAACCCCCTGCATCTACTTGAAAGTGTGGAAAGAAACAGCTGTTGTTGCAGCTGCACAACTGTAGTTGCAATTGCATGGTGCTGTGTCAATCAGAAGCTGCCTTGAGTGACTGCTGCCCTAGGTGCCAGGCTGTGTCATTACAGTACGTCTGGAAACAGGATCTGGTGCATGGGCCAGCGCTGGTTGCTCGGCTGCTGGTGGCAGCTGCAACAGCTAGACCCGCAGTGCAGCAGCATCTATTTTTTTATGCCCCAGTCACCCTCTCTTCGCTACAGTATTGGGATCTGCTCTTAAATCCTCAATCATTGGTTGGCTCCTGTTATATTTCCAGGTTACATGTTTTTAGTTGCATCAGAAAAAAAGAAAAAGTAAAGAAAGTAGCAGCACTGAATTCAGAATGCTATATTTATTTATTACAAAATGCATAGAACTAGATTTCATTCCTCCTGGCTGAAAGAGGTTGACAGTGAGACACCATCTCTAACCAGGGAGTTGGTGTCTTAAATTCTCTGAAAGGCTGCAACAAGGTAAATATTTCTAAACAATGATTTACATATTGTATATATTCATAAAGACTGCAAATTCCCAGGGTGATCGTTCTTCACAGAGAATGATTCTTATGATGTCAAAAAGCCAGCTGATTTTTGCCTTAGCTCAACAAGGAAACTACTGTATTTATTCGAATCTAAGATAAGCTGCCCCCCCCCCCCACTTCATCATAAGGGAAAAAACCCTCATCTTAGATTTGAATATGAGCCAGAGAAGCAGCTGCTACAGCTCTGAACAGGGGCAGGGAGCCTCATGCTTCAGGTAGGGGGGCATGGAGCAAGAGGACCATAGGGGAAGAGGGCACATGATGTGGGGGGGCAGGGCACAGGAAGGGGGCATGTGGTGCAGGGTGGGATCATGGGGGAAGAGGGTGGGGGATCATAGAGTGAGGGGAGCACAGGGTGCACAAGTGGTGCAGCAAAGGGGGCACAGTACAGGGGGGAGCATAGGGAAAAGGGCATGTAGTGCTAGGGGGAGTATGGGGAAGAGACACAAAGTGCGGAGGGCATGGAAAAAGGGGTGCATGATGGGGAAGCATAGGTGAAAGGACAATGGGAAGAGTGTGGGGTAGGATATTTGGGAAAAGGGCACAGGGGAAGGGAAATGGAGAGTGAGGGGTGCATAGGGAAGGGGCACTTGAAGCAGACGGAGCATGGAGAATGGTAAGTGGAGTGGCAGGGGGAGCTGTTGCAGCTCTGGCTCTGGTCCCAACCTACATCCCAACCCAGACTGGAGGCCAGAGCTGGAGCTGCTGCTACTGCCTAGACTGGTCAGGTGGCTCTGTGCTCCCAGTGGAAACAGAGTCAGAACAGCTGAAAAGGTAAGCAGCAGGGAGGCAGACACCAGAGGGGGACAAGTGGCAGGAGAGGGAAAGCACTGGGGGAGGGACAGGTGACAAGCAGGGAGACAAGGGGCATGGAACAGGCTGCCAGCCCGCCAGCTGCTGCTTCCCCTGACACTACTTTCCCTGGGGTAGTAGTGGGAGGGATGAATTTAAGAGGACCCTCCAATAATTAGATTTTATACACGCAAAATTAAAATAAATATATGATTTTTCATGAATTGAATAATTACAGGGTCATCCTAAATTCCAAGTCATCTTGGATTTGGGTAAATATGGTAATTACATGTCCAACTTTAAGCAGGTGTGAAATATACCAGGACTTAAGGCTAGGCACATATGTAAGTAGCTTGCTGAATCAGACCTTAATGAAGACTGGGCAAGTTAGACAACTATCTCAATACAGGAAATAAGTGGCATTTAAAGTGCACTGGGTATTTAAATGGTTTAACATAACCAACTCCCAAAGGAGCTTTAGGAGCCGATTCACTGTACCTGGTGGACCAGGGGAGCCTTGGTCTCCTTTTTCACCCTTTAAGCCGGTAGGGCCATTCAGTCCCCAGGAGTTTCTCTCTCCTTTAAAACCTAGCAAAAATAGTGCAAACAAATAAAATGTAGTAGGAGCAGGATCAGACACAGAGTTGTTATCTGCAGGCTCTATCACTAATTGCTAATCAGCAAGCAATAAACAAGGATATTGATCGCTGTGGAGGTCAACAAAACTATTGTTTGTTGCTCTGCAATAAGGCATTTCAGCTGTCAACCAAAGCAGACAATGTTCTGGAGCCATATTCATGTTTTTAGCAAAATTATTCTACCTGGTGAGTTGGCCTGGTGCAGAACTGCAGCCAAATAACCTTGAATTTTCTTCCTTTTGCATTTGTTCCCCACATCCAGTGTCACGTGGGCGTTCCTCTGCTACATGTCTAGGCAAAAATGGCACCTTATTCTACATAATTGGTACTTGCAGGTGAAATGAACTCCCAAGTAACTGGATCTTTCAGATATAATTCCCCAATGTCTTGCTTCTTTGCAAAGTGCAAGTAAAATAACACTGCTTTAATTTGGTAGCACATTACAGGCACGTTATGCTGGAATAAATGACTGAACAGGGGCAAGGACAGAGGCTGCCCAATGTGGAGCAAAGTTGTGGGAGTTGGTGGTGAAGTTCATCAGTGCAATACCAGGACAAAGCCTAGGAACACTCTTGCAGAAACAAGGTGGAGTGGTGCTTATGTCCCTTTAGGAACCTGATCCAATAGATGTGCTCAGAGCAGACCTGATGCACACCAACTGCACTGAACTTAGCAACAGAAACAGCAACCAGAGCTACTTTCATTTTAATTATAGCAGTGATGCCCACTTGCTTGTTATGTAATAGCCTAATGGTTAGAAGGCTCAGGAGGTAGAAGACTTGGTTTCCTATGATGTTTTCATCCTGCGGGGCTTCAAACCACATCTTCCACCTTTCAGGAGAGAGCCCTTGGCACCAGGCTACAGGCAGGGACCCCTCTACTCTTTCCTGTTTGAGCTGTGACATTATACAGTAAAGCATGCAAAATCCATGGAACCAGAGAGAAAGCAGGCAAGAAGGAGGCCAACTCCATGGCCTAGTGCTTAGGGAACTTGGGAGATGAGAATCCTGGTCCATGCAACATGTATGCTCCCCAATCCAGATAGCTCAGTCTAGTGTCAGGGCACTCGTCTGGGAGCTGAGATGTGTTTGTCTGAACTATCTTTAGGATGAGCAGGAAACTGAACCAGCTGTCCCACTACTTGGATGAATTTTCTAACTACTAGGCCATTGTATGCAAGACAGACATTACCAGCAGTGCTGCCCGATCTTTTGAAAAAATATTGGTGGACATCTATGTTCAGGAATGGGTTTTAGGTTCCTGGTCACAAACGGACAGGAGTATCTCCCTGGTAACCCTGACTCAAGCACTGAAGCTTCTGAGATGGACAGAAGTTTAGACACATCTCTCCCCATACACTGGGGAGTTATGTCCCCAAGTTTAGACATAACTCTCCCCATACACTGAACAGAGAAGTCTCAGCAATTCAAAAAAGGCCTGGACGCCACTCTGGGGTCAAGTCAGGAGGGCGTAGATACTGTAGGCACCTACATCTGCTTTGGATCTGGCTCTTATTGCTTGGCCACAGGCTATCGTAATTAGAGAAAAAGGAATGATAGCTATTAATATACACAAAGTTTCGTCTAAGTTGTAGCAGGCTGGCTCGTCACTCTTAAACTCCTCCTTGAATGAAAGAATACAACAAGAAACTAAAGAGTCCTTATAACAGCTCATAGTAACTCATGGGAGGGACCATTTTGCTTAATTATTCAGTACATTAACATCCACTCTTATAATTCCCCAGGTGGGACAATGGAGTGAAGGGGCTAATTAGAGTCATCTGGGGCAAACACTGCAGGTCCTTTTGCAATCAAGGTGAGGGTACCTGGTGAGTTGCCAAAGATGGTTTACATCAGCAGACCTAAGAGAAACAAGGAGCTAAGAAATCTGTCCAGGAAGCTCTGGACAGGAAAATGACTGAAGTGAGAGTTAACAGCACAACTGTCATACTCCTCCTGTTGCAGCTCTTAAATGGCCATTATTCTAGGTAGGTGCTTCACTGAGGTGTGCACTATTGCAAATCCCAAACCATCTAGTTGTTCCTAGTTTTGTTGAATTTTTTAAAATTATTTTTAAAAACACTAGGTGTTATGCTCTTGTTCTCTGTGTTACTCAAGTTCAAACATTCCTCTGGAAATACAAGGGCTAGACTTTTTTTTTTAATAGTGAAAGCTCAGTTTCTCATGTAATCATCAGATTGCAGGAGCTGGAGCTTTATGTTGAATAACAACTATTTGTAAGACTCAAGTTAAAAATGTGATAGATGGCAACACCAAGTGTTCCAAAGCACCGCTGTTACTACAGTTGGCAAAGGGGACACAAGTAAAGAATCAATTCCCAGAGAAGCACTGAAATCAGTGATAGGGCCAGTGCCCTACACAGAAGTAAATAACAAATTTAGTGCAAACTTTTCTACATCAAACATATGAATATCTCTGAGGGACTGTCTAAAAACCTTTATTAGAAGCTTCAGGTTTGAATGAGGAATTTGGGTCACTTCTGTTCTGCATGATACTTGGGTTGTATCCTCTCTTTTTAAAGAACGAGGGGAGGCGTGGCAAGAAAAAAATTCCCAGAACTGAGGGAAAGGATTTGGGGCTCTCCTTAGATTTGGAAGTAATGACAGAAGGGGTGGGGTTTACAGACCTGTGGACATTTCAATAGTAGATTTCCAAGTAGAAGCCTCCTCCATAGCTTTGGCTCCCAGGAGCCAGGAATACCCTGGGAAAGGGCTTAAGAACAAGGGGCAGGAGGCTGGTGAAGAGTTTCCTGTGCATCCCTGAATTCCACAGGTACAATAGCTCTGGTTCCTCTATTGTCCCCAATATCCTTTTCAACAAGAGAAGAAAAGGAAGTCCCTGGCTTCAGTACTCACTACAGTTGTCATGCTTTATGTTGCTTCCGTAAGGATTTTTCTGAAGGACCATAAGACATGTTCCATTCGTTCTTGTCAGTCTCACATCTCTCCCCACCTTTTCTTTCACTGATCTTTTGTCTTCTTCCTAGTTCTCTCCCCTAATTCTTCTCTTTCTATGCCTCAGAAATTACCTTCTCTTCAGCAGGTTGCATTCCATCCTCCTAACAAGCAAAGGAAGGGACAGCATTTCCTTTCTTTCTCCAGAAAGGCTCATATTCTCCCTCCTTTTCAAGAAAAGGGAGTGTTGTGGGGCTGCTTCTTCTCCTTCCCCTCTGAGGAAGCCTGCAATGTTTCCTGCTCTAAGCAGGGGTTGCTTCTGCCTGTGATACTGTATCCCAATCCAGGAGAGTGGAGTTCTAACAACAGACAGGAGCTGACTTGATTCAGGCAGTTGGGCCAATTCCTAGGGTTGCCAACTCTGACTGGAGCTATCCCGGGAGATTTTTTTCTCCAGCATGATGTAATGTCATTAATAGGAGTGCACCAATAGAGATTTTTTGGGTCGATACCAATGGCTAATTTTTAATGAGCCATATTGGCTGATACCAGTCTGATTGCTGATATGCAGCCAGGCAGCTTGGAGAGCAGCATCCGGCTGAAAAGTCTGTTGTGGGGGAAGGAGTGAGGGGGGAAGGGAAAGGGTATGGAGGGAGGCAGATCAAGGCCCCCATGGTAAGTGGGGGAGTGGGGGTGGGGCAGGGGCTGCTCAGCCAGGGTGGGCAGGGTGTGGGATGGAGACATGAGCAGCTCATCTGAAGGGGACAGGGGGCAGCTCCCACTACTATGTGCTCCCTGGGAGGGCATGGGGGCCATGTGCCCCTGGATCTGTTCATGGGGTGGGGGTGGTTGCTGCTGTGGGCTGGAGCTGGGGTGGCACTGAGCTCTTCCTGGTGGGGACTGAGCCAGGCTATGCTTGGGGTGGGAG